CTCAAAATAATAATAATAATAATAATAATGACGATGATGATGACGATGAAATAAACCTGTCAATGGATTTTCTTCCCAAATTCGTCCAGTTCATGTAATACAAGTTTTGTCCAGTAGGGGAAGTCAAGTGTCAGTAAAGTTGTTGGTCGACCGCTTCAAGATATAACAAAGAAGAAAATAGCCTGGTGTTTTGATGAACAGAGAATTAGAAAAGAATGCTAAAAAGGAAACAACGATAGGAATCGGAAGTTTTTGAGGTAACTTGAGCTTGTGTTTTTTAAAGGTGTTCTATTTTCCGTAGTTTATTTTAAGCACACGAGGCTATGAAAGTTGTGTATTTTTGATGATGAWACCAGCGGTTAGCGGGTTGTCTGCTAGCCAGCCAGTGCTTCTGAGATAAAGGACACATCAGACTTATTTTTACAGGTTAGCAAGTGATTAATTTTCATAAATAACAGCGCGGTGGACCATTTCGTAGTTACGAAATCGACTGTACCGTTTCTTGTTGTAACATGTGCACACTGAGCTTGCTCTGGAAACGCTATTGTTACCGAACCAATAGCGAACCAACCAGCCAGGAAAGAAGAGCCACTGTTCCACCGTGCTACGTGTCAGGACGTTTTAAAACAAAAATCTATTTTTTACCAGTTTATCAAAGTATTCTAACCTAACCTCAAGCGTACAGCTCAAGCAGGCAAAGAAACAAAAACAACATATTCCAACATGTCATTATTTAATTAACGAAAACAAATGCAAAGACTACGGACGATTCTACAGCTAAAACAAGCTGTTTTCTGAGCGTCTGTACTATAGCTGTAGAAGAATTAAATTTATTAAAAATGCTGTTTTTTTTTTCTTTCCAGCTGCCTGTAAGAGAACACCTCTCAGGACTTGAAAATGTAAGTATAACTGCCTTGAAATCATTTTACATGAATTACATAGTTGTAAATTTTAGATTTTCATACTAATGGTTTCTTACAACTCGTCTAATATTTAACTAACCCTGAATTCTAATTTTATCAACCTGTGACTTATTAAAGCTCCTTCTGTGACTTTAAAGGAGAATTTCTGCCTGAAAATGACTTAATATTTTTCAGTTTGATATAATTATACCGCTCATTGATGCAATAGTCATTTACACTTTGTGATGACTCCTAAAATGGTCATTCCTGGGGTTTTTCCACATCTGAAAAATGTATTGAATTAATTTTATTCAAATTATTATATTTTTAGACGCTTTTTTAAAAAATATTTTTGGCATCCCATCACTTTTTGGTTAAACATATGTGGATTTTGAAACAGAAACATTGTATTAAAACTTGTTTTTATTGTACCCAGAAGACTTGGACTTCAATATAAAATGAATACAAATGAGCAAATCTGAAAGAGTAACTGTGTTTCATCATGTTTTCCTGTGTTTTGTTAGATTGATGACAGCTCCACCGTCACTTCCTTTTCCTCTTGAGCACAAACTCACAAAACATCTGTCTCCACTGTACACTGCTGATTAAAAGCATGCAAGTTGATGATAATGAGAAGCCGGGTAGCGTCGGTAGACCTGCTGGTGGCAGAGTCGGTCTGTCTCTTAAATCTAGAAGGAAAAAGAAGCAAAAGGCGGGCAGGCCTTTAGACAGCCGAGTGGCCCTTGGCTTGGCGTTTCATAGATGGCGGTCACTGAGAAACAAATCTGGAATGCGTTCAGATGCAGAAGTGGCCTTATATCTTCTTAATGCGTAAGTTGTTTTCTAATATCTTTGTTACATGTTGTGCATGTTTGCAGCTTTAAATTTCCATCTTTACTAATACATTTTGCAAACACATTATTTTCACTTTCCATCACCCTTTTTTAATTGTTCCTCCAGTTTTCTTTTATTTATTTATTTATTTATTGCTTTATTACTTTATTAATTTCTTTAAAGGGGCTATATCATGTAAAATCCACTTTTTTGAGTTTTATATCATGTTATAATGTTATTCTCTCATCAAAAACATGCCCAGAGTCTTACTTTTACTCATTTATGCATGTTTGAGAAATCTGATGATGTCCTGAGGCAGCCAGGCAGGGGAGCAAAAATGACTGGTTGGGACTAGAACTGCCTTTTGGGACTAGCTCCTCCTCTGGGCTGTGTCTCCAAGCTGAACTTTCTCATCACAGAGCACGCACCCCGCCCGTGACTCCGGCAGGTTCTCCGCAGCAACAAAGCAAACAACTGGTGAAACTGAAACTGTCTGCTGAGCTCCCAATACTACTTCTCAGTGCAGCTATTTCAGATTCAAAATACCTTTGAGGGAATGTATTTTCAGATGCCAAGTAAACTACGCCGAGCTTCCATATCACAGCGCATAATAAAATAAATTTCTGTACAATAAAAATACAAATCACAAATAAAATGAAATGCGGCAGAAAGAAGAAAAATCTCCTATATCTACGCCTCCCCCCCACCAAAAAATAATAACTTTAAGCAATAATAATCTACAAACAAGAAAAATTAAACAAAACCAAACTCAAATCCTTGTTGAACAACAATTAGTATGAAAACACATTATATTGTTTCATATTTCTTTAACAAACTGACTTTTATCGTTCTCTTTAACAAACATTGATGTAGCATTTTTGACATCACTCTCCAGATTATTCCAAAGTCTTTTTCCTTGTATTGAAGTACACTGCTCCTTCAAACTGGTTCGAAATTTAGGTTTCACAATCTATTCCTTTCAGATCATAATAACTTKCTCTCTTAACAAAATTTAATTGGTTGTTTAAAGGTAATATGCATTTTGTGAGTTTTATACATAGAATAGAATAGAATAGAAACRGCCTTTAATGTCCCGCGCGGGGAAATTCAGGTGCAGTAGCAGCAGCAGGTACACACATCAATCCACAAAACAGTACGCTGCCATGTGACAACATCAATAGCAGCAAAAAATAATAGAATTAACGATAGTAACAACAAAATGAACATAGATCAAAGTCAAAAATAAGAATAATAATTACAGTACCGGTCCATCAAGGAGAAATTGGATAAAAATGAAAGTAAAAAGCAAGCTACTATGCAGAAAGATACATAATCACAAGAAATAAGAGTCATGACTGACTTGTGCAAATTGAGTCGAACTCGAGGATGTGCAAATTGTTTCAGACTCAGCCATTAATTCCTTAAGTCCTGTTCAGGAAAAAAACAGTGAGCAATTATTATTATTATTGTTTATTATTTGTGCAATGATTGTGAGGTAGAGTTGTTTGATGTGCAAACACAAACATGTATGCTTATGATTGTTGTGAGCAGTGATGGTTAAAAAGTCTAACAGCTGATGGGAGAAATGATCTGCTGTAACGCTCTTTTGTGCATTTAGGATGCAGCAGTCTGTCACTGAAGGAGCTCTGCAGATCAGCTACAGTTCCATGCATTGGGTGGGAGGAGTTTTCTGTTATAGATGTTATTTTACTCAGGGTTCTTCTACACTGGGACGATGGGGCATCCCAGCACAGAGCTGGCCTTCCTGATGAGTTTATCCAGCCGCTTCCTCTCAGCTGCAGATGAGCTGCTGCTCCAACAAACGATGCCATAAAAGATGGCTGAAGCCACATCTGTGTCAAAAGAATGTTTTCATGAGTGCCCCCTGTACTCCAAAAGACCTCAGCCTCCTCAGCAGGTAGAGTCTGCTCTGACCCTTCGTGTAAAGAGCRTCTGTGTTGTGAGTCCAGTCCAGTTTGTTGTTCAGGTGAACACCCAGGTACTTACAGTATAAGAGTCCACTATCTCAACGTCCACTCCCTGGATGTTCACCGGTGTCAGTGGGGTGGGACTGTGCAGAAATCCACCACCAGCTCCTTGGTTTTTAGCAGTGTTGATGAGGAGGTGGTTCCACTGGCACCAATCCACAAAGTCCTGAGTCCACTGTCTGTACTCTGAGTCCACTGTCTGTACTCTGAGTCCACTGTCTGTACTCTGAGTCCACTGTCTGTATGCTGAGTCRTCCTCACCTGTGATGAGGCYGACTATGGCCGAGTCATCAGAGAACTTCTGSAGGTGGCAGTGTGGGKTGTTGATGGTGAAGTCTGCAGTGTAGAGGGTGAACAGGAACGGTGCCAGCACTGTTCCCTGAGGAGCCCCCATACTGCAGACCAGCGTGTCCGAGATACAGCCCTGTGTCCTCACATACTGTGGGCGGTCCGTGAGGTAGTTAAAAACCCACTGGGACATGTGGTGGTCCACTCCAGACAGCTCCAGCTTGTCCCTCAGTAGTCCTGGCTAGATGGTGTTGAAAGCACTGGAGAAATCAAAGAACATGATCGCCACAGAGCTTCCAGGTTGCTCCAGGTGAGTCAGAGTGCGATGCATAAGGTAGGTGATGGCATCATCCACCCCGATGCCAGGCTGGTAGGCAAACTGTGGCAGATCCAATGAAGACCTCACCAGGGTGTGTAGATGGATGAGGACCAGCCTCTCCAGGGTCTTCGTCAGATGAGATGTCAGGGCTACTGACCTGTAGCTGCTGAGGTCCTTTGGGTGTTTTTTCTTTGGTACTGGTACCACACAGGAGGTCTTCCACAGTTGTGGTACTTTCCCCGTCTTCAGGCTCAGGTTGAACATTGTTCCCATGATGCCACAGAGTTCATCTGCACAGCACCTCAGGAGCCTGGAGCAGATTCCGTCTGGACCTGCAGCTTTAAGCACCTTGATCTCTAGCAGCTCATTCCTCACCCGGAGAGCTGAAAGGGACAAGATGGAGGTGGGGGAGGGAGACTGATGGCTGGAGTCCTCAAAAGAGGGGTGGGGTGCTTAGTGGCTGAGAGCTGCGAGGTGTCAAGTTCTGAGTAAGTRGGGTAGAGGATGTGGGGGATGGTGGAGAGCTGCTAGGTGCCAAGTTCTGATCCAAGAGATTTGTTGGTGGTGGAGTGGCTGACAGAAGTGGGGGACTGGGCTGGGGGAGGGGTGGGTGGCTGGTCAAACCTGTTAATGTTTACCCACCCCACATCTCCTGCAGCCTGCAGGTTTGTTTTATGGCCTGAGATTTTCTTCAGGTTTCTCCAGACCCCACTGGTGTTACCCTGCTGCAGTTGGTCCTCCATCTTCTTCCTATAGATGTTTTTCCCTTCTCTGATCTTTCTTCTCAGATCCTTCTGCACAGCTCGCAGCTCCCCCTTGTTTCTCTTTTTCTCCTTAAGCAGAGCCTTTATTTCAGGGTTGATCCAGGGTTTGTTGTTTGAGAAGCACCGTACCGTCCTGATGGGTACAGTGTTGTCCACGCAGAACTTTATGTAGTCCATGATGCAGTCTGTGATGTTGTCAATGTCTTCTCCATGAGGAGCACAGAGCTCTTCCCACACAATGGAGCTGAAACAGTCTCTCATCACTTCTTCTGTCTCCTCGGTCTATTTCGTTGATGTACGTGTCACCACTGGTTCACTGCGTACCAGAGGTTTGTAAACAGGCTGGAGATGAACCAGGTTATGGTCTGACCCTCCCAGAGGAGGCAGAGATGACAAATTATATGCATCTTTGGTGTTAGCATACAGTAAATCCAGTGTGCTGGTATCTCTGGTGTCTCTGTAAACCTGTAAAATATTATAATCAACCAACTCATAGAATTTCAATAATTTCAAATGATAAAAAATTTGATGGATGACTGTAGTGTTTTCTAGTGATAATTCTTACAGCTCTTTTCTGTAAAACAAAATTGGGTTTATAACTGTCTTGCATGCTTTCCCCCGGACATCAGTACAATAAAGCGTGGATTACATTATACAACATACAGGTCCTTCTCAAAAAATTAGCATATTGTGATAAAGTTAATTATTTTCTGTAATGTACTGATAAACACTAAACTTTCATATATTATATTTTAGATTCATTGCACACCAACTGAAGTAGTTCGAGCCTTTTTTTGTTTTAATATTGATGATTTTGGCAAAAAAGTAAAGAAAAACCAAAAATCCCTATCTCAAAAAATTAGCATAT